AGCCAAAGCACCATGGTGGAGCAAAGAGCTGGCTAAGCTAAGGGCTGAGGGGAGAAGACTCTTTAATAGGGCTAGAAATGTAAATACACCGAGATCCTGGGAGGAGTACAGGAAATCTCAGAGAATTTACAAAAAGGCCATAGTAAAAGCTAAAAGGAAAGGATGGAGAAGTTTTTGCTCAAGTATAGAGAGTGCTCCTGAAGCATCTAGACTGAGAAGAATACTCTGCAAGGAAAACCAAACACAATGGGGCTGCCTTAAGTTTCCCAATAGAGGGTACACAGAAACTGCGGAGGAGACCCTACGGCACCTTATGGAAATCCATTTCCCAGGCTTTAGGGAGGACTCAGCAGACAACAACAACAGGCAGAGACCCATGACCGTGCACAAATCAAGGGCATGGGGACTGGCAGCTAAAGTGGTTTATCCACAAGCAGTGGAATGGGCGGTCGGTTCCTTCGAGCCTTTAAAGGCTCCAGGACCTGATGGAATATACCCGATCCTGCTGCAGAAAGGGCTGAGCAGCTTGTTAGGCCCAATGACAAAAATCTACAAGGCAAGTATTGCCCTCAGACATGTCCCCCAGAAGTGGAGAGAAACCAAGGTGGTTTTTATACCTAAACCTGGCAAGAACGGTCACGTCAGGACAAAGGACTATAGACCAATTAGCCTTATGTCCTTCGTATTGAAGACCTTAGAGAGACTGGTAGACAGATTTCTCAAGTCCAACTCTCTAATACAACAACCTCTAGCCGACTCTCAGTACGCTTACAGGGAGGGCAGGTCTACCGAAACCGCCCTACATTACCTGATAGGCAAAGTTGAGAGTCAGCTGAAGGCAAAGGGCTATGCGATCGGAATCTTCCTGGACATCGAGGGCGCTTTTGATAGCACTTTACACGAGGTGGTAGGGGAGGCACTGATCAGACATGGAGTACAAGAACCACTGGTGGACTGGATAGAAGACATGCCAGTGGACAGATGCTTGACGGTGGAGTGCCAAGATATCTCCATCAGAGGAAAACCAACGAAAGGCTGCCCACAGGGGGGAGTTTTATCTCCTCTGTTGTGGTGTCTAGTGATAGACGACCTGCTAAAGGAGCTACAGAGGAAAGGTTTCTCGACCTTTGGTTATGCTGATGACGTGGCCATTGTGGTTAGAGGACCATTTCTCAACACACTAAGGGACCAAGCAAAGGATACCTTAAGGATTGTGCAAAACTGGTGTGAGAACAGAGGTCTAACGGTAAATCCGAGCAAGACAAATATTATGGTCTTCACCAGAAAATATAAACCTGAACCCATAGAGACGTTAAAACTCTGGGGAAAGGAAATACCGTTTACAGACTCGGTGAAATACTTGGGACTGATTCTAGATCCTAAGCTTAGCTGGGGAAAACATCTCATAGAGCAAAGGAAAAAGTTCTATGCATCCATGTGGATGTGTAGAAGGGCAATGAGCAAGTCGTGGGGCATCAGCACTGGTGCAGCATTGTGGCTGTACAGGGCGATCCTGCTGCCGCGGCTGCTATACGCGTCAGTCGTCTGGTGGACGAGAATAAATAAAGGAGAGGTAAAGAAACTACTTAGAAGCCTGCAAGGTAACTACCTAAGGGCTGCAGTAGGGGCCATGAGAACCACACCCACAGAGGCGCTTGAAATAGCACTCAGTGTTACGCCAATAGGCTTGGCCGTGATAAAATCAGCCAATACCGCGGCATACCGCCTGAAATGTCAGGGTGAATGGAGAAACACAGGACTGGGACACACCAGGCTAGGTCTTCTCCAAAAGTACCCTATTGAAGGAAAACAAGACAGAACCACAAGAAAGTATCAACTGGTAAAACATTTTAAATTATGGATACTTGATAGAAACGAGTGGCTGAAACCGGACGGGATCATGGACACAAAGGTGGACATGTGGTTCACGGACGGATCAGGCATAAACAATTGCTTTGGAGCAGGAGTATATGGATTTGGGGAAAACCATAGGGAGAGTATTCTAATGGGAGGCGACTGCACGGTCTTTATGGCAGAGATGCTCGCCATCCTCAGATGTGCCGAACTGAACCTAACCAAGGGAACAAATTGCAGAAAAATATTTATCTGCTCAAACAGTAGGGCAGCCCTCCTGGCGTTGGCGGGTACGACCACCGAGTCAAACTTGGTATGGGACTGCATGCTGGCGCTGGAGGAGCTGTGTGGAACAAATAAAGTAACGTTAGTCTGGGTACCCGGGCATCAGGGCATACCGGGAAACGAAATAGCAGACTCACTGGCTAGAGAAGGGGCTAGCAAAGCACCACATAGTCGGGAGGTGGGAGTGCCCTTTACGATGGGCAAGAACTTTATCAGGGACAGTATAAACAAACAACATAAGGCCAGGTGGGAAAATCTGAAATCCTGCCGACAGGCTTTCTGATGAAAGACATAAATGGTAACAGAACCAAAGAACTACTCACTAAATAGGCAGAAATTGAGAATGGGGATAGGACTGCTGACAGGACATTCACCAATACTCAAAGCCCACCTATTCAATATCAGACTCGCAGACAGGAAGGAGTGTCGACTATGCGGGGAGGAAAAAGAGGACAGCATACATATTCTGTGCCAATGTCCGGCTCTGGCTAGAAAGAGATTCAGGATCTGGAGACAAAGTTTTCTAAAATCCCAAGAATTAGACAAAACAAGGGTGGTGAAACTCATAAGCCTAGTGGAGAACTCTGGGCTGAGTACACATCACCCAGTTTAAAGACAAGAGTGAGGAGACACAATGGATCTCGCTAGATCTAGGTGCCGTCGGGGACCAAGTCATGGAACCACTCACTAACTATCTACTACTACTACTACTACTACATTTCATTCATTTATCAAACCTATTTTTTGCAGATATTTAGCTACTGGAAATCAGATTTTGTCCGTTGCATTCCCAGTGAAAACTACCTAGTCAAAGTGATGTCAAAATGTTATCAATTTGATGAACGGTATAATGTCAAAAAGAGAGATCATAATGATGGCAATTTGACTGCAAAACGTCCCATACTTTGATGATGATTTTGACTGTCATTTTGATGTCTGTTTGATGTCAAAGGGTTTTTCGGTTAAAGATAATAATGCAGTTGTAATGGATAATATATTTGTTTATACTTTGAATGTTTTTAGCTACGATGCATGATATGTTACACTACTATGTTACATTCTGTGATGTCTTCTGTCATTCAATAGAAGAGCTTGTTTTATATATAAAACAAACTTTTCTATTGGATAACAAAAGACGTCACAGAGTAACATAGTGTAACATATAGCGCATTGTGGCTGAAAAACATCCAAAGTATAAACAATTACATTATCCATTACTCTCTACAAAAATAAATACAAAATTAAAACTGAATTACATTTAATATGTTAAAAGCAGCAGTTTTTAATCGAATATATGTATTTTAAATTTATTTGCTTGATCATAAAATGCAATTACAATTAAATAACTTTTAAATAAAAAATTCAATAGTTACAAATGTTTATCAATATTTTTTATTTATATGAGCATTATATATATTATATATATATCTATATAGATATCTATATAGATTTTTTGGATACTCTTATTATCTATTATACTAGTCATAAAAGAAACATTACAAAACCTTGTCACATATGAGATATACGCAAATTAACTCTAGCACAATCAGTCGTATAACAAAAAAATAATTAAAAGTAACTCATAAACTGACTGAAAAATCGTAGTATCATCAAAAATCATGTAAACTTCGCATAAAAGAAACGTTATATGTTAAACAAATATTGAAAGACATTTTATCTGTTAAATTTCCATATTGGAAACATCAATAACATAACAAAAATTCATCAATCTCGTAATAAAAACTAAACATTGCACATATAATAAATAATAATGTTTTCATTGTTCAACTCTGCCAAGAATAGAAAATATATAAACGAACGTAAATAATAACTCAAAAATAATAAGAAAAACTAAAAAATAATGTACTTAGGTACTAGATATGTACTTTACTTATAATATACTTCAGGCATCAGAGGGGTCGTAGACCTTATAAACTGTTCGTGTAGTTCAGATTCGGGTTACAGTAATGACGATAGCTAACAAAAAGAAGCATGGCTGTTGCGGTACGAAAAAGCAAAAGTTGAAAAGTACACCTTACAATGGCACAACAATGTCAAACGGTATACATAATACAATCGTACAGCCAGAGATGGTTTTATTAGGCATCAGAATTTTGCGACTCATTAACTTTCCTTCCATTTGCAGTTTGAAACCAACGCTTGATTTTTGCTTCAGCTTTAATAAGAAAGCTATCAGGAAAACGTAATTTAACTGCACCTATACACAAAAACAATTGCAATAAATTAATATTATTAACAAAAGAAACACTGATATATATTTCATATATTATAAGTATTAAAAAAATAACTTAATATAATTAGAATGAAAATTATGAGATTTACGTAATAAATTTAAAAAATCGAGATACTTGCCAAATACAACTTCACATAGTTGTGTTTCAGAAAATTTTATCTTATCGCCTTCTGATCCACTCCAACTTATTAATTTGGCAAGATCATTTGAGATCAATTTGGACAAAATGTTCCCTGTGACACTACGTTCTGAGGGAGTAGAAGATGTACCAAAACTGCCACATTTAGAATAAAGCAGATCTCGCTGTTAAGGCATGAAATGTGATTATCATAATTGCCTAGTAAATTTTTAACATGCATTATACAATACATATATTATAATAACATGATATAAGACATACCACAGATTCATAATTGATGCGATTAGCTGCTAAAACCGTCTCCATTTTCTGAAAGTCCTTTTTTGTTTTTAATGGAATAGATGGAATTTTAGAAGATATCATGGATTTAGCATGATCTGGATTGACAGACCGAACAATGATTGCCTGGTTAATCAGTACTGAATCTAATTTTTTGCTAATTTCCAGAAGTACTGTGCTGCTTAACTTCTATTCACTGTGACAATGTTTGCAGCCATCACCTAAAAAAATAAAGTCTATTAAACATCTGCAAAGAATGTCAAAACAATAACTATCTAAACCGTAAACGCAAATAAATACCTTTATTCTTAAAATTGTAGGAGTAACTTTGATTAGCCTTTGTATTCGGCAAAGAAAAATGTTCTTCATTTGTACCAGAACTTGATCCAGCAGAAGTCTGTACCAACGAACATGAAGATCCTTTATCAGGATTGTTTATCCGCATTGAGTGTAATGAAAGAGAGTCTTGAGCATCATCACTTGTAAAATCAGGTGGAGAGAGAATTGTAGAAGTTTTACTATTCAAAGATGTATGGTCCTTGCTTGATACTGACAAAAACTTCTGTTTGGTATGATCCATTTCCTGCTGTTTTTCGTGCTTCTTAATATTACTTTGAGATTGATTACCGCGAATCTTTTGCAGTTGTCTTTGCTTTCGCTCACTATCTTGGCTGGAATTGTCTTGAAATTTCTGGACTCTAAATTCGATATTTTTATGAACAGATAACACAGATTCTTTTCTGGTCACTTTCTCCATCTCTTTATCTTGCACTTGATTCAGATGGATACTATCTTTAACTGCCTTCAAGGCATCAGAGTTGATTTCAGGCAAAGTTTCGCTGCCGTTATCACTACTACTTTCACTAAGTTTTCTAATTTTACTTTTGCGATAAACTTTTTCTTTTCGAGATGGTAAAGTGTTTTCCTTGTCTTCACTATCTTCATCAGAATCATCAATGTATCGCTTTGGTGGCTTCCTCCTTCGTGGGGCGTTATCTGCTTCTGTTTCAAGGGATGTGTTATCTTCAGCTTTCTTCAAACCTCTGACTGCATCATCATATTCACTTACAATTATCAGTTTAAAAATAATAATTTTTATATTTATTGCACAAAAATTTATTTAATCAAAAATTGATAATATATGCATATATAAAGAAATTGACATATTAGATTTAATGAACTGACGGTATAAGTGAAGAACGGATCCTTTATGAAGAGGCCAATGAATATTAGGCTCAATACAATTTTTTACAGATCTTTTTAAGTGTACAAGTCTTGATCCTTTTTCGGGCCAGTTTTCTGGAGGCCAGAACATATCAGTAATTTCATCGTCATGTTTGTCAATCCATTTAACAGGAACCACTGCAACTGTTTCTTCTTCCTCTTGTTTGTCTCTCGCGAAAGCCACCACAGCATACTGAAAAAACCAAGATTTATAAAACTTAAAAAATGACCTAAAATTATATATACAATATTAAAAAGTAATGGACTAATGTCAAAGTGCTATAATATTATGATAAGTAATATAGACAACTTTTATTCGGCATCAAGTATTTTAAAAATATTTGCAGTAACACTTGTAAATGTATGCTTGATTTAATTAAAATTCGTCCTATTTTAATAAATTGATTGTTAAGAAAAGGAAGTCATATATTCTCATACAAGACAATAAACACACAATGCTGATACTTTTACAAAAACATATATAAATACACACTTATTCACAAATGCATATATTGCTATAAATTTGCCACACTACTAAATATAATAAAATAAATACAGTAAATTCTAGGTAAAAATGCTACTTTTTGTTTCCACAAAAACCGATTTCTCAGAGAAACCTTAACCACAAGTGTAAATTTGAAAGTTTAAATCATATCACCACAAAGAATAAACTAAACTAATAACCAATGTCGACTATAAGATAGTAAAAAACAATAATCATGTAGCATATTACGGTACAAATACGTAAACAGACAATATAACGGATCCTCACCGTTATCAATAGTCATATATCAGAGGGACCATGCGCAAGAGGAATACAGAGATATGATCTATTATTTTCAGGAATAAGAACACATTTTATAATTGTATCATTCATTTCCCAAGATCTAACTGTTTCATCTAATTGTGAAACAAGAACGATGCCAATCAAGGATGAATCCATTGGGTATTGATAATAACTCTTCTGTATATGAAATCGTTGTCCATGTAGGATCACTACATTATCTTCACAATAAATAATATTTCGCAACAAAACTACAGATCCATCTTCAGTTTTAAAGCAATGATCAGGAACATCACATCTCAATGTAAATTTATTGCTGGTAAGCACCTTATAGTGCTGCCCTTGAACAGTTTCATTAGGATCAACATGATTTTCGCTCAGTTCTATACCCTCAATAACATGTTTCGGCTCTGACAAGTGTCCATTGGTTTCAGCATCCCTTCTTGCTAATTGTTGCAAAGGATGATATCCCGATCGTAATGATTGCTTGATTGTTTTTAAATAGTTTTCATATGGAAAAGCACTAAATGAATCTAAGGATCCATGCTCTTCGCATTCATCAACTAAATGAGTAAGTCCATGAACATTAAACACAACAAAGTCACGGCTAAAAACATTACTGCTACATTGTACAAATAAATTTAAAAATATTCTAGCAACATTTCTCATTGCAATATTCTGCACGAGTGAAGGAGAGGCTAAAATGTAAATGCTACAGTGGAGGAGTAAGAAAGTGTGATATATTTTCGTAGGAGTATGATCCTTTATTATTTTAACACCATCATATAGTAAAAATCTTCTAAACTCTGTAGCCTTAAGATGAGCAACCGTTTTGAATCGATAAGGCTTTCAGTTAAATTCTCTAGGAATAAACTGCCCAATCTATGCTGAAGTATTTTTAAAAGCTTCTATGTTTTCATCTCTCAATTTGCCTCGGTTTCTTATTTCTAATAATCGCATCAAAAATCTCTTCATCACACCAACGCATACAAGATGAAGATATTCAAGCCTGAATTGGGATACCATTCGAATATTGAGTCGCTCTTCTAATGGTGATAATCCTTGATGGTGTTCAGGATTTCTTCTGTCAAAAGATTGATCTGTACGTTTCTGTCCATTGTTCAAATAAACCATTCTGTGATGGTACTATTCACCTTCAACTTCACATTTTTCACATGAAAATAATCTATTATGACCAATGGTACACTTCACAAAAGATCTCGCTGCAGCATCACAAATAAAGTTATGTATAGATACATCATAAATATGACCATTAAAATTAAAACCGTTTGTATAAAGGTCCTCTATTTCGTTAATAAATTCTTCAAAAAATTGTTCTAATGTTGAAGGTTTTAATTCTGTACCAAAATAAACACTAATAATAAAAGGTTCACAAATCTTATTGTCAGCCAATGATCCTAAAATGGGCCAAAAATGCAAATTTCCACTATTATCCAGAGGTAATCCGTCTATGCTGATATTCAATCGTATTCGTCCATGAGAATTTAAATATTTTTCAGTTAAGAAAAAATTAAGACTTTTTTTTATTCCTTTGTACCGCACATGTCCATTATCAATCTCAATCACTGGCGTAGTCTTAGGTGTATTCAGCAAGGTTGTATATGACTTAGGAAGATTTGGATGCACTGTGTGTAAAATACTCAACAAACTGTTTACTTTTCTTTTTGAGACATTATAAGAAGCCCATTCTGTTAGAGCCATACGTAAATAGACATCTACGTCAAATTCTTCATCAGATTCATTGTCAGTTATATCTTCTCGTATACTTTCTGCAGACAAATCCATATTATCTGACCAATCTGTATTATTATCACCTGAAATATCGTTTTCATATTGACTGTCATTTTCTATTTGCTCTTGTTCCAATTGTTCTTGTTCCTGCACTTCAACATCCGTATTTAATTCTAGTGAATCTAAAATCTCTTCTTCATGTACTTTTAAATGTTGAGATGCGTTACATGAATCACTTGATCCTTCATATTCTTCATATAATTGCAATCTCAATCTACGTTCACGCTCCACCTCAGCTTGCCTTTTCAAAATCCGCTCATGACGATTCTACATATGAAAGAATGCATTGTCATATTATAAAAACAAAAGAAGTTATATAACAATGCCATTTACAATATTCCAATATTCTGCATTTTAGCATTTTCAATAAATGACTGATTCAATGCCATAAATACATTACGTACAATAAGCTTCTTGCAACAATCTTGCTCTCCACCAATCTAAATCTAATTTAATACTTTATATAAACTTTTACCTATATGTCTTTATGAATACAAAGATCATCAGAAAAACTGTACTCTGCAAAAGTATATTTCTCTCTCCTTCTCTCTCTTTTTCTCTCCTTCTCTCTCTCTCACTCTCCCTCTCTTTAAAAGTGTCCGAATACATATATTATATACATTGGACGACCATTATTGCATAAATATAAGGAGATTCAAATTATTTGTTTAAGATATGATGTAATTAAACATTTATTTTGTGTTTTTTCATAGGTATATATATATATATATATATATATATATATATTAACGACACTTTAAAAGAAAAAGAAAAAGTTTGTCTCCGTCTAACCTTCTCTAGACATTTTTCATACATATACACAAACACAACTTTTCATAATTACACAAAGGCCTCTTTTGGATATTATTATTTCTTACATATATAAAGTAAACACAAGAAAAACACCGGTTAACCTAACTTATCAAACTTTCTCAATTACTTATAATAGGCTAATAAATACGCTGTAGAAAACAATAATACTATTATGTACATTATTTATACTTACTGCTCTTTTATCCATGTCGATCCGAGATATCAAGTCAAAGATTTTTAGCGTCTCTTTCGCGCGTCGCGATTGCTTAGGAGGAACGATGCGGGAATTAATAATGTGATGCGACGATTAAATCAACTGAATATATTCTTCAATGCAAATTGTACGTGTGAATACATATAGGTATATCGCTCGGATTAATAAACGTGCGTTCGTGCGCGGCGACTGTCGAAGACGGAATCTCTCGTTATCTAAAAATCTCCTATTTATACCTTGCCTCAAAAACGCCCTTCGCTAGGCTTCGAGAGGCTTCGCGAATTTTCTATCTATTTTTACTTGTTTGTTTCTGTCCTACTCGTCTTTCGTCTCGTCTGTAATATTTTATTTATATTTATTTGTGCCTTTGTCCTTTTCGTATATGTCAATGTCCGTATTCGTATGCGTGTTTTCCTTATTAATTTCAGGGAAGTATGTGACGATGTAATCGCCACAGATTTTTTTATAATTTAACAATTTATTATGCACTTCACTTTTGCCGTACTACGTATACTACGTTCCGTCGGTTCCGTTTGCGGATGTCGCGGATGACACGTGACATAAAAGATTTGTTCTAAATAAGATCTGATGTTCTACCGTCTGTTCTTTTTAATTGAACTGGCTGGCTGAATATATTATTTTAGAGTGTATATCTTTTCTTTCCAATATATAAAATAAAAGAGATAAACTCTAAATTAGTATGATTAATTCAATTAAAAAGAATAAACTATAAGATATATACATTAAATTTAAAATTAACTAAATAATGCATTAAATCAAACTCAATATATAAATGCAATATATATAGAAATTGCATATATATATATATATACTATATAAAATAACGCTGGAGGTAATATATAACTGAATCAAATTGTCTCATCATAATATAGTCATTTTGATATCAATATGACACTGATTGAGTTTTCCCTACATATTACTACAATATATCATCTAAACTTTCTAAACATTCACTTTAATCTTTTTTATATATAATATTTCATTATGCACGTTAAAATATATGATGTCAATTTTTCGTCATATTGAATTACTTCTTTGACGCAATGACGACATACGACAGTTTTGATGTCATATTGACATCACTTTGACTAGGTAGTTTTCACTGGGTTGGCTTTTAGATGTGGAGAATCCACTGTCAGAAAAGTTATCCATGAAACCTGCTCTGTCATATCAATGGTATTATAACTCATTTATCTTCGTTTACCAACGGAAAAAGAGTGGAAAAATATTTGTGCTGGTTATATGGATAATTGGAATTTTCCCAATTGTGTTGGGTCATTTGATGGAAAGCACGTGCAGATACAAGCTCCGCCCAATTCGGGGACTTTATTTTTCAATTATAAGAAAACCTTTAGTGTAGTGCTAATGGCAGCATGTGACTACAAATATATGTTTACTGTGCGCGACGGAAAGCAGGATAGGAAGGTCGGAAGCGAAAGGACAGCGAAGCACTACACTCGACACACA